TAAAAGAATGGGCTTTGCTCTTAATGAGCAGGAGTGGACGAAATGCAGGCTGCAAATTCCATTTTTGTGGCCCCAGGAGTCAATTCCTTTCTTTCTTTCTTTTTGGTAACTCCCCCTTCCAGTTTCTTTTGCTGCCAAATTCTATCTGGGGATGTGGGGGCATTTTTGCTAGGTTTTGGGCTCTTCTGGACCATTTTAGGTCCAGAAAAGGGCTTTTAGAAACTGGAAGTAAACCAGAACTTCTGGTCACTTTCTATTTTGAAAAAAAGGCTTCTCCTGGGCATTTGGGAAGAGAAATTAAGTTTTGGTAGTGGGGTGTGGTGGAAGGTGCACACCCCAAGTCACCTGGGGGCTAATGCATAGTTAACCACCCCTGTTATTGAGCTACACAGTAACTCCAGCCTTATACTTGCCAGTCTTTGTTAAAAGATAATGCAAGGAAGTTGTCAAGCATCGGAGATATCAAAGGATTCCTTGAAAGCAGCACTTAAAACGTTGACACCCTCCCTTTATGAAACATCTTTTGGAAAGTTAAAAACATTCCCTACTTATAAAAAGAATACATGACGTGTCTTTCACTTTGCACCTAGGAGACACACCAAGTATTCAGATCCAGCTTCTCATTTCTAAGGTAAATAATCTGCAGAGCCCTCTGCCAATCTGTGGACGCAAATGAATAACTGCAAATAAAACAGCTTCTACCCACCTGCAATTTCTTGTCCTTTTGGATCAGGCAGATCCCACACGGTCTCTTAATTCACATGATGATTACTTTATTGAAAGTTCTGTGGTATCCACATATTGTACCTTGCAAAATTGTAGGTCTCTGACATAATCCAGAAACATTGCTGACATGAACTCTTTTTCAACTCTGGGACGCCATACTGTTTGAATCTTTACTGCAGAAACATAAAACTACAACTATATTCAACATTTTTATTTCCGAGACTCAGAAAGCTGGATGAAGGCCAAATGCTTCATTAACATGACCAACCTGGAAAAAAAAAATAGAAAAAAAAGGCTCAACGGATATTCAGCAAATACTGTACAAAACTTTGACAGGGAGATCTGTCCCTGAGAGGGGGAGTTTTCTTACAGGAGTAACTGATGGCGCAGTGGTTTAATGCCTGTACTGCAGCCACTCACTCACAGACCACAAGGTTGCGAGTTCAATACTAGCCAGGGCTCAGGCTAGACTCAGGCCTGCATCCTTCCAAGGTTGTTAAAATGACTACCCAATTATTGAGGGGCAATGAGCTTACAGTTGTAAACCGCTTAGACACCCCATAGCGCGGTATGAAGTGGTATATAAATGAAGCTGCTTTTGCTTTGCTGCTTTATTTTGTTTTACTAGGTTGCATCCAGGAAAGCCAGTATGAACCAGTGTGAATGGAGCCACTGTAGCAGCTTACTGGACTAGGACTCAGAGACTAGGGTTTGAATCCTTGCTCAGTCACGGAAACTCACTAGGTCACCTTGGGCAAGTCACACTCTTTCAGCCTCATAGGAAGGCAAACGCAAGGTCCTTCAGAACACATTTTGCCAAGAAAACCCTGTGATATGACAACTCTAAATCAGAAATGACTTGACAGCACAAAACAACACGACAGAAAGACTGTATCCAAAAGGTTGAATGTAGAGGAAAGACAACCATCATACCAAAATATGATCTGTACAGTATATCAATAGAATTGACAGGCAATGTAAGAAATAGATTTGCGCTATTAATCATGATTGACCAAGGGTAACAAGAACAATGGTCAGACGCCAGGGACATAGTCATGGAAGAATGCAGAAAGACACTAACAGTGGCCAAAAAGAAAGAACACAAACAAATGATAACAAATGAAATGCTTCAAACAGTAAAGAAGGAGAAAAGCAAAAGCAGCAACAACAAAACCATAAATGCAACCTGTCCAATAACTAGTACACAAGGATAAAGTAAACTATTATAAAAGTCAATACAGAGAAATAAAAGACAGCAACAAAAAAGGGAAAATGAGAGACCTTTCCCACAAAATCTGGGAACTCAAAGGAAAATTCAAACCAAGAGTAAGGATCCTCTGTGATCAGAAGAAAAACATACTACAAAATCAAGAAGCAATAAAAGAAAACAATGGAAGCAATACACAGAAGAACTAAATATGGCAGTAATTATTTAGCTTGGGCCCAGAAGATGGAATTCTTTCTGAAGAAGGGAGGTCTGTGGTAGTATGTGACTGATCTATCCCAGAGTCCTGATGAGGAAGAAATCTGACAGGAAGAAATTACTCATTTGTGGATTGGGCTTGCTGTAGAATCATAGAAACACAGAGTTGGAAGAGACCACAAGGGCCATCCAGTGCAACCCCCTGCCATCCAGGAACACAAAATCAAAGCATGGCCATCCAGCCTCTGTTTCAAGACCTCCAAAGAAGGAGACTCCAC